TATATATATTACATAATGTTTTACACATTCATATATTATTATGGAACATGGAGTAGATCCAGATGATTTTTTACAGAATCGCGTGTCCCAGATTAAATCACCTAGTGATTTAATCAGTGACTCACTGATTGTGTAAATAAATCTCTGTCCTACTCCACGTTCTTTTGTAGTACAACTCGAAAGTTGTACTATAAAAGGACGAAAGACGGAACACTGTCTCTCATCCCTTTCTCCTTCTACTTCTAGTAGAAGTGTTGGCTCTCTAATAAACTACCTATCCACAACCATTGTCATGGACTAAGGAGGCGACCATCAACAGGCACCAAACGCGGATGCCATTCGCCCACGCCCCTATTTCAGAGAAGCAGCCGGGACAATTCGGTTGGAGATTGAACAGCGTGGCTACGCAGTGCCTGTGATGGGCCGTAACTCTCTTTTTGGACTCCGGCTCGAAATAACCGGAGTCTCCACATATGAACATATTAATAATCTATACCAGTGCCCCGCCGTAGCGAACAGAGAGTAGAGCACAGGACTACCCTTGGATACATGCACAGCAGTGTGGTGTCAAGATAACGTGTCATACCCAAGAGGACTATTGGAATCACCAGTTGCTACTCCCATTTGGAATAGGGGCCAGAAAGCCGAGGCGCGGGAAGAAGTTGACAATATCTTAAATTGGGCCAATTATATGGCCCACGAAATCAAGCGAATCCATCTCGGTGGCCTATCTCCCGGACACCGAGAAGAATCCTATCTAGGGCTCATGTTAGATGTAATTAAGGACCTAGGCCAAGTAGTGGAACTTAAACAGTTAAGAGTGGTGGAGGGCAAAGCCTTTGCTGCATTGGTAAAGCAGTAGGTGAAGCCAACTCATCACAACTCGTCAGACATTCAGAAATTCGTGCGGCAGAACAAAAACAAGTAGTTCAAGATCAACCTCCATAAATTCAAATACAACAAGAAGGAGGAGGACGAAGCTGACAAGTAAGAAGGCCGCGCCAGCTCTGCTTTATCAATGTGTTTGAAGTACTATAGCAAAGTGGAGGGAACACGGCGCGACCAAGGAGGTACTCCAGGCGATCCAATACGGCGTTCGGCCAGTATGGTGTCCGAAGGGTCCTCCACCAGCATCACAGAAGGGCAGGTGGATAACTATTCCAGAAGTCACGGATCCAATGATAACCGCGTAGCTATCGCGACTGGAGGGAGAAGGGGTTATCCGACGCTGCCAGGAATCGGAGGCATACCTAATACACTCCACATTCATGATTCTCAAAGCAGATGGGATCCGTTCTCGGCTCCTACTCAATCCTGCAGAGACCAACGACCGTGCCGAGAAGAAAGCGTTCCGAGTGGAAGGTCTAGAGAGGCTGGCTCATGTTGCTCGCAGATGGATTCTATGCATTAACTGTGGCAGACCCCCACCTATGGCAGTTTCGAGACCACACGGGCCAACTATGGTGCTTTCTCGCCCTTCCGATGGGCGCCACGTTTCCCCCAGCATACTTCAATCAACTGAAAGATGTTGTTCGCAAAGTTCTCCGCAACCAGGGGATCCGAATAATACTATACGTAGACGATCTACTTCTCCTGGGCCGATCCAGGGAACAAATCATGCAACACCGTCAACAAATAATCGACCTCTTTAAATCGTTAGGGCTGGAGTTCGCAAAAGGAAAGGGATATTGGACACATCCCGTGACGAATCTTCAGCACCTCGGCGTAGTCATAGACTTTATACAAAACACAATCACGATAACTCAGGGCTTCATTGAGAAACTACTGCGCCTGGCAGCAGCCATCCGGACAATGGGCCTGAAACATCAGAAAAAAAAATCAAGACAAAACTTTGGCAGTCGTTCTTAGGGTCCCTCCAATGGGCGGGTTACTCCATTCTCGGCTTATGTCCCTTTATTGCGGATTTACAGCAGACAACTCTGTGGAGCCGCTCTGCTCAAATCAGATTATCAGGAGCAGCATTAAAAAAATTCGAGCACATCCAATTGCTCATCGAGATTTTTCAAACTCGAACAATTTAGCTCCTCCCAGAGCACAAAGGGACGATCACATCAGACGCATCGAAAATAGGTTTTGGAGCAACCTTATCCTTCAATCAGAAGACATGGAAATTTGCAGGAACATGGATACAGACAGAGCAGCACTGGCCAATAGCAGTACTCGAACTCGAACTAAAAGCACTAGTGCTGGCGTTTTCAGCACCGTTTCCGAGCAAGGATGTCAGTTTGCTCCACGGCATTCTCAGCTAGGAGTGGTGACTGCCCCCCCCCCCAAAAAAATAAAATAAATTTGTATATATACATATATATAGTTATATATATATATATATATATAGTTATATATAGATATATATAGCTATATATATATATATATATATATATATATATATATATATATATATATATATATATATATATATATATATATATATATATATAGTTATATATAAATATATATAGTAAAAATATATGCCAAGAAATAGTTTATTTTCATAATAGCCTTCTGAAACCATACAAGACGGGTATGCTATTTTGTGCTAACGAAACCCAAATATTTAAATGATGGGCATTAATTGCATCGTATCAATGTCACGACTATCATCATCATGATAGCGGGCAGCAGCCACACAGTATATTTATGTATTTCAAACGCGGGTGAATATAGTAAAAATATATGCCAAGGGAAATAGGATACGAACACTCAATCAGCTACAACAACACCCGTACATAGCTATTACCTGACGCGGCTACTGTGAGTGTTGCTAGAGATTATAGTGGCAACATGCGCAGGTGGTTTGTAGCATTGGTGCCGCCCAGTGACATACAAGATAAGGCGAGTGCGATAATTGACGAACTCACTGTGAAGTACGGCACACGCACAGCCAGGACGATGCCGCATGTCACGCTCATCGCACCCTTTGAGGTGATAGCAGATGAAGGAGAAGCCACTCAACCGGTTAAACAGGTTAGTGATCGACTGGTCTTGTGATGGATTATTGAATAGGCGATCAACAACACAGATAATGGATCACACAGGTAATTATTTTCCTTTTCGGTACTTGTATTGGTTAGACATGTGATTGATTCTATAGCATTACGTAGTGGTATCGATCAATGAATGTTTTTGAGTCTTTATATGCGAATCGTATGAGATCTCTTGCTATGTATTGCCTCGTAGTTAATTATAGTTTTGACATTCCAAGTAGTTTCCATCAATATTCACAACTAATCGCTCAATACAACACAATGAGATGCACAAGTGTTAGTAGATATCTCGTACAGCTACATCGCTATATTAGCGAGTAGAATGCAAAGCAGTGCTTGCAGATACTCTCGCGAGTTTAATAAGCCGGTGCTTCCACTATACGCTAGAGTATACAATCAGTACCGCGCACGTGCTGTATTATAGTGTAACTCGATCCACGGCCACTACACAGCTACACGTGATATTGGTTATCAGAGTGATACGCCGAAGTCTCTGAATACAACAAACAGCATTCACAAGACTTTCTCACTGATCATACTATCTTTCATCCGAAGTCTCTCAATATCTTTAGATCGCAAGAAACCCCCTCCCCCCCACTGACTACCCTGGCCCTGCATCTCCGCTCAGGTGCTACGGCAGGTTGCACGGGCCAGCAAGCCATTCACAGTGAGCTTGGCGGGGTTCAATTCGTTTGCGCCGCGCGTTCTATTTATAGACGTGGATAAAAGCGCGTGTCTGAGTGAGTTGAAACAACATCTCGAACGGGCGTTGGCGGAAGCGTGTGCGATCACACCCGACAATCGGCACTACCAACCACACATGACTATAGCGTCCCGCAAGGTACGCAAGAACAACTTCACGCGCATATGGCAGGACTTGGACAATAGGACCTTTGAAGAAGTGTGGCAGTGTACGGAGGTCAGCCTGCTGGTGTATGAGGATATGCGGTGGAAGGTGGATATGACATTCCCAATAGGCTGATATTACAGCGGGGAGGATGTATGTAGAAGATGGATGGCAAACAATGGTGTGAAGTACGTTAAAACTACAAAGAATCGTAGTTCACAGTGAGAATGTATCGTATGTCCAAATTGGTCGGGCGGTGTTAGATTGGAAGTGCGATTGCCTATTGTATGTATATATGTCAGAAGTATATCATGCACACACACACAGTCACACAGTCACATTCGCACGCACATACACGTTTGCACAAACAGACACAGACAAAGACGCACACGTGTGCACACACACACACACACACATACCTACATATATATATATATATATATATATATATACGCACACGTACACGCACACGCACACGCATACGCATACGCATACGCATACGCACAAGATTGGCGCATGCGACGATGTGCGCACTGTGTCGGCCTGTGCACTTTTCAATGAATCCGTTCATGCCACTCACAACACCTCCACGAGAGGAACATGTATGTGGACAATGGCCATTCGCCTGTGGTTGTGATAGATCATCGGGAGACATCAGTGATCGTACCATGGTAGACATCCCTACCACCTGACGATGATAGCTCATACACTCGCAACGTGCACTGACTTGCAGCTCCAGAGTGGTAAGTGTAACTATCTACACGAAAGTAGGTAATTATCCACACTGCAAGTAGGTAGCTATCTACACTGCAAGTAGGTAACTATCTACACTGCAAGTAGGTAACTATCTACACTGCAAGTAGGTAACTATCTACACTGCAAGTAGGTAGTACCTGATCCCCCGGCTGCATCAGTATGACAGTTGTTGTGCCAAGTGAGCGTTAACGCCTGTTCCGAATACACTGAACTGAACCAAAGACCGGCTTAGTCATCAGAGTGTAGCTGTCTTCCGATACACCAAGGGTGGGCGACCGCTGTCTGGACAACAAAGTGATTGGTGACGTGCATAGCATATACTTTCCTCGCTCGAGAGTGTTGACAGGCACACTGGATTCAATACCAGTGTCTGGAGAATACCAGGTCAAGGAATGCTGAGGGGCAACAATACTTGTATTCCAATGCTGGAGAAGCACCACTGGACGATAAATGAATATATCATCACTTGTTATATAATCAGTATATCATCACTTGTTATATAATCATTATATTATCACTTGTTATATAATCAATATATCATCACTTGTTATATAATCAATATATCATCACTTGTCGCCGCGATTGTCAGCGTACTTTTCAGAAATACCATTTTCTACTTCAAAAAATATTTTTGGAAGGAATTTGGGTTCTGCTTTGGGATCGCAGAAAGCAACCTCTAATAGTTGATTCATATGATGATATGTGTGCACGTACATATCTGTGAACACACTCGCAGAAAGCAACCTCTAATAGTTGATTCATTTGATGATATGTATGCACGTACATATCTGTGAACGTTCATTGTGTGGTAAGCAATACATAAGTATACAAAATATGGCGATTCGGGGTTTAAATATCAAAACAAAAAACATACTAAATATTATAGTACACTAAATACAATAGTAAATATTATAGTATACTAAATACAATAGTAAATATTAAGTACACTAAATACAATAGTAAATAGTATAGTATACTAAATACAATAGTAAATATTATAGTACACTAAATACAATAGTAAATATTATAGTATGCTAAATACAATAGTGAATATTATAGTACACTAAACACAATAGTAAACTATTGTAGTAAACTACATACAACAGTAAACCTGAATAAACGTTTTACAGAAATGGATACCGAACTTCTGAAGTCTTCGTCTTCGTCTGAACAGTGAACTCAGGGCTTCAGAAGTCACCAAGAAAGGTCCCAGCTCATGCACTTACTCGACAATCAGCACCAAGTACCTACTAATCCTTTTTTTTGGGGGCCAAGGACGGAATATAACTGTATAGAGTCCACAATCGACGTAATGTATTTGTATGTTCTGAAGATGAAGATCACAATCTATTGATATGCCTAATGCTCACAGTTTATTATGCGCAGCCACACCCGTGGCCCACTACCGCTGGTGTACGTTTATCTGAGCACTTCATTTCTTGGACTTCGCTTGCTTGGCGTATTTCTGTGTTGCAAGAGTGTAGAAAGAGAGTAAGCCCGTGTCGATGCGTTTGTGAACGATAACGTTTACAGAGAAAAACAATAGGGATGAGTGACGGGGAATCATTTGCACTGCCCCGCACCAGCGGTATATCGCCTTATTCGGTTCACTCTTTTACATTCAGATGCTCGACCGTTACGTTTATGATTATACGTCAATAAACTTTAGGTACTTTCAAAGGGAAGCTGGAAATAGTACTGTACCTCATTTATATATATATATATACATATACATATATATATTGACACAGGCACAGGCACAGGCACAGACATACATATATATATATAATATTGGTACACACACCTTCACATCTCCCACGGCCTTTTTAGCCATAGGATTCTCTTTGAAGCACTTCAATAATGGATCGACGATGGCGAGGTACGCCTTCTGTACGGCTGGCTTAAGATCGCCGGGGTGCAATTTAGCAGAGGCTGCAGTATAGAAAAGTGGTGATACTGTCAGTGCTCTATCCCAGTATATATATATATATGTACATACATATATATATATGTACATATATACATACATATATCTCCAAGCGCATCGTACTCGACAATGCTATCAAATAGATAAATTCACACTTCTCTTGTACATGGGTAGCATCAGATACACACACACCCTCTCTCACGCCAATATAAACGAGCAGCAAACACCTTCGACAACTGTCACACCCTGTCACCCCATCACCTAATCCCCACACAATCATCACCCACGACAGCTGTCACACCCTGTCACCCAATCCCCACATACCCACCCAATCATCACCCACGACAACTGTCACACCCTTTCACCCCATCACCCAATCCCCACATACCCACACAATCATCACCCACGACAACTGTCACACCCTGTCACCCAATCTCCACACAATCATCATCCACGACAACTGTCACACCCTGTCACCCAATCTCCCTATACACATACCAACATCACCCACGACAACTGTCACACCCTTTCACCCCACCAACCAATCCCCACATACCCACACAATCATCACCCACGACAACTGTCACACCCTGTCACCCCATCACCCAATTCCCCTATACACATACCGTAATCCGCCTCAAGACTGTCGTAGGTCGTGTACTCGATATCGCCTCCATTCTCCGCCGAGCGGCTGATCACGAGCGCACCCGACTGAGGCAACACAATGTCACGCACAACCGACAGCAACGGACAGAACGTCACATTCTGCGGCTCACAGAACGCCCGCTTGAACTTGCGCGGCAGCTCAATCTGCGTATCCATTAGGAACAGAATGGCGTCCTAAGGGTGGATGGTGTGTGTGTGTGTAATGTTAGTATTGTCCTAAGGTGGATGGGGTGTGTGTATGTAATGTAAGTATCGTCCTAAGTAATGTTAGTATAGTCCTAAGGTGGATGGGGTGTGCGTGTGTAATATTAGTCTAGGCTTGGATCATATATATGTGCGTGTGAATGTATGGTGATTTTTGAGTGCAGGCTTTCGTATAGTCTGTGCGAGTTTTCACATATGCTACGCGAGATGGCTTAACGCCTGCGTGTTGTGATATAACATTGGTAGGCGCATTCGCCTGTATAGTGTACGTGCATGCGTGTGCCTGGTTGTATAGTGTACGTACGGATAATACTCTAGCACTATATGCGTATGGATAGTACCTTACTACTATATGCGCATGGATAATACTCTAACACTAGATGCGCATGAACACTACCTAAAAATACCGAGAACACTGGGAGCCACAAAAACGTGTACATATATGCAGACACATGTATATATATGCAGACAGAAACCACAGACAGACACATGAGTAATACCTTACACATTGGGAGTCACAAATACGTGTACATATATGCAGACATGAAACCACAGACAGACACCAAAAGCACACGAACCACACACGCACACGGCAAACTCCTAAACTCTAAAACACACCCACCTGGTTCTTCAGGCCAGATTCCAACTCCTCTCTGAGATACAGATCCGCACCCTCGCGCACGGCTACTCTCGGCGCCACCACTGCGGGATCGTCCAGGCCTGTGATGTATTTGTGGGCAATGTCACCCATAACCTTGAGCTCTGCCGGTACACTCACAGTACAAGAATCACCCGCAACACCCATGGTATCAGCAACAAACATCAGCGACGCGACGATTAAACCGGCACAACTCTCATCGTCACCCTGGATGAGAGGGAAGAAGGGGGTGGGATGGGTGGTGGGCGAAGGGGTATGGGTAGACATAGAGATAAATGGCAAAATGAAATAGCATAGGAATGGGTGAATGTAGGAGTTAATAGGAGAGTGATAAAGGCCAGAATACCAAATCATAGGACTATACGGGATAAATGGATGAATGCGAGACATAGTTGGGGATTGTGGTAGAGAGTGAAGGATGTGGGCGTGCGGGCAAATGTGTGTGTGTGTGGTTGGGGGGGGGGGGGGGAGTGGTGCACCGACTATGGGCAATCATAGGGGTGTGAGTGCGTACGTGTGGTTAGATGTACTGCACTTTTGACCCAGGCGTGGCTACTCGACATTTGAAGGTGCTGCATGGCTCCGCCTACGAACTAGCCTGGCGACGAAAAGACTCTACAACTAAGATGCCAGAAGAGATGCCACGACAAGCAGGATTGTTACCTATCGCACCAACCAATACATACAAGCCCAATCACTTCACAGACATACATACACCTACAGCAACTGTAGATACACGTAGAAACCCGTGACGCATATTTTAATATATATATACATATATATATATAAATATAAATACATATATATATACACGTGTGAGCATAACCACACATCTACAGACATGCACCTGTAGGTAAGCGCGTGCCTACCTGTCCTGTGAGGATATCGGTGACCGTCAGTGATCGGCCCACATTGATAGCACTCAACCAGTAGTTGCTTGCATCGCGCAAGATGCCGTGGCTTTGGAACAGAACTTCAAACCGCTCGAAGGTCGCGGCAGGTAAGAACGCGCGCAGAGTCTATAGCCGCGGTATAGGTAGAGTTAAGTTGGGGGGGGGGGGAAGGTCAGACGTGAGGGAATGAGTTGGTTGTACGTCTGAGTGGGAAGGCGAAGAGAGGCAGGCATAACGGCGGAGGACGAACAAGTGCGAGTTCTTGCACACGCACATGTGCGCATGTACATACGAGGGGGTAGGAATCACAGTACGGCTGATGGATTACACAAGAGTGACTATACACACTTACACACTAGAATGCGTAAACAAAGGCACATGTATAGAGCAACGGAAGATCTGGTTCGCAATAATCCGAACAAAAAGGAAACGTAGCAACTAGTAGTGTGTAACTACACAACAATACACGTCCATGCACACGAGTGCGACTATAAGGACCTTCCCACACGCATAGACAGTAAGTTATAACCCTAACCACACAAATTGATACGAATTCATCGCATGCTCCTAACCTCAACCAGAACGGCGTAGCACTGGGCAATGACCTTCAGGTCACCCTCCATTTTGTTCTGACACTTCGACGCCCAATCTGGCAGCCACAGAATGCACTGGCTGTCTACCGGCGCGCTGCTCATGGCCTCGGCAAGTGGCAGGAAAGCCTGGGACAAGAGTGTGATAGAGAGTGAGTGGGTGGAAGGTGTAGGTGTATATATAGCAAATATCACATCTGCAACAAGAAAGCCTGGGATGAGAGCGTGGTAGAGAGTGAGTGGGTGGAAGGTGTAGGTGTATATATAACAAATATCGCGTCTGCAAGTGGCAAGAAAGCCTGGGATGAGTGTGGTAGAGAGTGAGTGGGTGGAAGGTGTAGGTGTATATATAACTAATATCGCGTCTGCAAGTGGCAAGAAAGCTTGGGATGAGAGTGTGGTAGAGAGTGAGTGGAAGGTGTAGGTATATGGCAACAAGGGTGAATGTAGCTGATATCGCATGCGAAAGGTGGTAAGGATGCTTATAACAGAGTGTAGTAGTGATTGAGTGGAAGGTGTAGGTATATGGCAACAAGGGTGAATGCAGCTGGTATCGCATGCGAAAGGTGGCAAACATGCCTGTGATGGCGTAAACATTCGGTTCAGCTCGTGTGTCTCTACTGAGCGATTATCGTATCTGGTGGGATACCTGTAGATACCGCAAC